TCTTAAAGTAGGCTTATTGCAGCAAAGATCACATGTAAATTTTTAATATTATTTTGTATTTTCATATATTTGTTTGACACTAAAAACTTAGCTGATTTGAGTAAACGAAAGTCTATTGTTGAGAATTATATCCAAATGACATTATGAAGAGTTTAACTCAAGAAGTAAGCATTTTCTCTGTATTTGAAATTATTTTGGTCCTTTGCTATTAATAATATCAACTTCAATGAGTTCAAGTCGCAATGCACCATGAGGATAAGACATCGGGATCAAGTCCTGATGCTCCATGATGATAAGAGTTGGGTTTGAGTATCAATTCATTATGGCCTAATATGCCTTTATATTGGTAAGACATTGGGTTTGAGTCTCACTGTACCATATTGATGATATAATGATGACTAAAGAAAAATAATATATTTTTCATGAAAAAGCACGAAGATTGTCCCATTTAATTTGCTCCATTCTTGAAGTGAATTTGGTAGCGGCACATAATAAGTCTAAATGAAGACAAGTGGTTGAACAATGAACGTGGGCGTTCCAAAGATCAAAATAATAATAATCATCATTATAATTATAAAAGGAGAACAATAAGGGTTCTCAAAATAGTCCTTCAAAATGTGAAAGCAGTGTTTACCATCAAATTGGTATGAAAAATAATAAAGCACTTCGCTGATTATGATTCATTCATTGAAGAGAATGTGACTTGTGATAAGCATTGAGAATGCATACCCATTCCTAAAGGTGAATGTTGCAATATGTGATAAAAGTAATGAATAAAGACATGCAATGCATGATTGGATGAATACCATACAACTCACTTCTAAGGGAGGTTTGTGTGATAAAAGATCTTGTAGTACAAAAGTTGTTAAGAGCTCCGAAAAAATTAATTTGTTACTACCCGGATGAATAAAATTATTCACGATATGGATATTGTAAAGTTTCAAAAGAAACTTTTTGAATTTCAAATGTATAAGTCAAAGTGGTTGGCATATTGAGACTATAAATGAAAGGAATATTGAATATTTTTATATTTCTATAATCATAACGGATAAATATAAAAGATTACCCGATTTTTTTTCTATTTGTACTACACAAATATAAACATGATGATGGAATCATATGTCACAAGTAAATCAGAGGTTTACTGAAACAAATATTAGTTGGCATGACCGGTTGACCATCTCGGTTCAATTAGGATGCTAAAAATTAATTGAGAATTACATTGACGTATATTGAAGAAATATAAGATTCTTCAAGAATTTTCTTGTGCTGCTTGTTCTAATGATATACCAGTTAAGGTTGGGATTGAATCATTTGATTTCTCGAACTAATAAAAGGTGATAAATATATGGGCCCAGTCACCTGTCATGTAGACCGTTTACTATTATATGATTTTAATAGATGCATCTATTCTATGGTCACATGTGCATTTGTTATCAAATTGCAGTTTGGCTTTTGCAAGATTGATTGCTCAAATTATTAAAGCATAGTTCCAAAATATAAATTATGATTATTTATCTTGATAATACTGGTTTAAATCCAAGTTGGTTTAGCAGAAATTGTATGCCTCCAATTATAGCTAAACCATTGGTTATGAGAACAAAACTGCCAAAATAAAATTTGGTATGTGATGTATTATTTAATATAATTTGGTATGTGATGTATTATTTAATATACAACAGCACTTGTACGCATCTAGCCAAGTTATGATAAATTCTCCCTATCACAATCGGTTCAGGGTCAGGAACCAAATAATTTCCATCTATAAGTATGAATGTGCTATATAATTTAATTGTTCCACCACAATGTACAAAGATGGATCCTCAAATAAGGCTAGGGATATGTGTTGGTGATCCCAACAATAGAGGGAGAAAACGGGCAGTGAAAAAAATAATGCATGTAATGAATTATTATGAGTACATCTAGATCCTCGTACGAGAAAATGTGAACTTGAAGTTCAAGTGATAATTCATTTGCAAAATATTGCCATGCGTATTTGATGACCCAAAGCTAAATATCATATTCAACTGTTAATGCTCCAAATAAAATAAAGTTCATAATGAATAGAGTCCATGGCATGCATGAAGCATAATAGACTAATCGGTTCCAAAGATAAAACTCCTTGAAGAAGGAGAGGAGCAAATGTTCAAGATGGTCATAATAAGGAGGCAAGTGCTCTAGAAGAGCACCACGATATAACACTTCATAAGACCTCATGGAAGAGGCTCAGGTACCTAAAAATAATGAGATAAAGAGATCTTAATAAGTTATGTATTTATTGGGTAATAATAGAATCGATATAAAATGATCGTCGACGATATTGTTAATATAATGTAGCACTCAATATTATTAATATTAACGAGAATTTTGAACTCAAATCTGTCATGAAATTTGGACAGATAAATGATTGGCCAAATGAAAAATACGCAGTAAAAATTGACTTCACCTGAAAAATGTGAAGTTGGACGGATAGTCCCAACACCTGAAAGAATAAAGCCAATGGAGGTATAAATGTGTTTTTGTGCGAAAAGTTCAAGTCGGTAGACATAAAGACAACTTGTGGTACAAGAAAATTAGTAAATATCCTCATATTGATTATATGGAGACATGTTCTCTTGTGGTGGATGTAGTCATTTAAGGTTTTAATATGGCAATACATGAAAAACTTGATATGCGTATAATGGAAATCATTGAAGGATTTAAATTGTTCTGAAGAATATAATATTTCCAAGAAATTTATTAAATAAAGCTTCAAAAATCCTTATACGGATTGAAACAATCAGGGCGCATGTGGTATAATCGCCTGTGTGAGTATCTGTTGAAAGAAGGGTACAAGAATGATTCAATTTGTCCTTGTGTCTTTATAAAAAAGATTTGGATCTGAATTTGTTATAATCACCGTGTATGTTGATGATTTAAATATCATTAGAACTCCTGGGGAGCTTCCTAAAGTAGTAGACTGTTTAAAGAAAGAATTTGAAATGAAAGATCTTGGAAAGATAATATTTTGTCTTGGTCTACAAATTGAGTATATGAAAGATGAAATTTTTGTCCATCAATCAGCATACACTAAAAAGATTTTAAAACGATTCTATATGGATAAAGTACATCTATTGAGTATCCCGATGGTTGTGAGATCACTCGATATAAATAAAGATTCATTCCGACCTCATAAAAATAATGAAGAGTCTTTTGGTCCTGAAGTACCATATCTCAGTGCAATTGGTGCACTAATTTATCTTGTTAACACTACAAGGCCTGACATAACTTTTTCAGTTAATGTCTTAGCAAGATATAACTCTACTCTTACAATGAGACATTTGAATGGAATCAAACACATATTACGGAATCTAAAAGAGACTACCAATATGGGCTTATTTTATGGTAATGATTGCAACCTCGATCTTGTTGGTTATGCCGATGATGGGTATTTATCTGACCCACACAAGGCTCGATCTCAAACAGGCTATGTGTTTACATGTTGAGGCACTTCCATATCTTGGCGATCGACTAAGCAATTAATCGTGGCTACTTCATCTAATCATGCTGAGATAATTATTATTCATGAAGCAAGTCGATAATGGGTATGGTTGAGGTCTATAATACATCTTATTAGAGACAAATGTGGTTTGAAGTGTGACAAATAACCCACAATTTTGTATGAAGACAATGCAGCATACATAGCCCAATTGAAGGGAGGATTCATAAAAGGAGATAGGACAAAGCACATTTCACCAAAGTTATTTTTCACACATGATCTTCAAAAGAATGATGATATCAATGTGCAACAGATCCGTTCAAGTGATAATATGGCTGATTTGTTCACCAAATCTCTACCGACGTCAACCTTCAAGAAACTAGTGTACAAGATTGGGATGTGAAGGCTCAAGATGTGATGCTCTCATCAGGGGGAGTTAATACGCGTAGTACTCTTTTTTCCTTACAAGATTTTGTCCCACTGGATTTTCCTTGAAGGTTTTTAACGAGGCAATTAAAAAGCGTATTTCTAAACATGTGTACTATTTTTCCTTCACTAGGATTTTTTTCCCATAGGGTTTTTTTTTCTAATAAGGTTTTAACGAGGCACATTATCTATGGACATCCAAGGGGGAGTGTTATAAGAAAAATCAAATTATGGTGGATGTCTACTCTTCCTCCATGATCTTCTCAAATGCTTAATGACATATTTCTATGCTTAATGACATATTCAATGACATATTTTTCTTCACTTTTCATGCCTATATAAAGGCGTTGTAATAGATAGGAAGAAACACATAATTGAAGAAGAAAATCTCTTCCTTCTCTCTATCTCTATTTCTTGTTCATGTTTTACTAAACCATCTAAGTAATAAGAATATATAATATGTTGCTAAATTGGGATATTAGACATTGTTAGTTTTCAAGTAGAAAAAAATTTAAAATTTTCCCATATAAATTTTAACTTTAATTTGTTTTCCCATATAATTTTAACAATGTTGAATTAATTTATTGCACTTCAGGTGGCTTCTCTTCTGTGGTGGGTCGTTTTGAACTGGTTGAAGATGCAGTTAACAATGCAGGTTTAGTAAAGGATGCACTTCATATCTAGGCTTTGGAAGAAGGAAAAGAAAACATTACTTTTGAGCATTTGAGAAGCAGACCATAATGCTTAGGTAGTTTTTGGTACATCCATGATGTTCATGTTTATGTAAAGGACTGGTAAGGAATCATATGATTAAGCATTCATATTTATTTTGTGCCCAAAAAGTGACGCAAAAATTGCAAAATCAGCTAACAGATATTCGGATAAGAACCCTTGGTAATTTTGAATCTTTTAGACGTTAAGCTTTTGCGTCATTCAAGAAACAAGTGATCACTTACCATTTTTCTTGTCAAAACAGACCATAGAGCGACCACAAGCAAAAACCAAAGAGCATTTTAGAATCAAGATATACTTTCAGCAGTTATCGATTCTCTGATTAGGATCAAGCCTGTGAAATCTAACTTGCAAACCACAAAAGTAATTGCCAGACAAGCGCCTGCAAATAGTTTTTAATTTAATTTCACTAGTTATATTGGTCAAACAGTACACCGTCAAATTAACAAGTGTTATAGCAATATTGAGAGTGCAGAAGACCAGAAATTAAATAGGACAAACAGGTTACTAGAAGGCAAACCCAGCAATTCATTTCTCAACAGCTAGACTAGAAATCATTATACAGCTAACTAAAGCTAAAATTTCCCAGTAGCTGAAGACTCGTAGTTCTTGTGATAGCAGGCATGACTTGTTTGAGCTGGATATATCCTTCAATAACCGTAGCTGCCTCCATAAACAGAACCATAATCTGCAGCTGACGCCTGGCCAGCATGACCAGTGGCACTAGACTGTGAAGGGTACACAGGAACCTGAGAAGGATAAGGATTATAACCTTGGGAAGGTGGTCCAGCAGCAGCATTCTGCATTGAGTTGGTAGCGTCGGCGATGGAATTCTGCACCATAAGGAATAAGGGTCGTCAGAATAATATGCATCTAGACATCTCAGTATAACCACAGCATTTCAATGATAATTTAGCCTTTTGTCTCCTTAATTGTTTTCATAACTTGATAGTGCATTGCAAACAAGATCACACTCTCCTTAGACCACAAACAGAATATTATAGTGAAAGCCAAATTCCCACTAATTACAGCTGAATCTCATTAATCGGTGGACACTAATGTCAAAATAAATATGTTCAATTATTTAACTGCTGCTCAGAGTCCACATTGAACATTGTGTTATGAATTGGCCTAACATTTTAGGCAGGAATATTTAACTAAATAATGTTCATAAAAAAATAAGAGGAAAGTTGTTGGTGTTTGTTATATCCTGTTTCAATTTTTTGAGAACGGAAACATGAAATTGTTTAATACTAGAGAAGTGGAAATACGGAAGAGTACACCAACTATATCAGTCCACTTACCACATGGCACATGCCTAAATGAAGGAAAGCAGAATTCATGTGGCAGAAGCAAACCTCTTTTTTGCAAGGGCTTTGGGTCTAGTGGTAAGAGCACGACGTGTAAGCACGTGTCACAGGTTATCATGTCGTAGACACAAAAGCCTGCTATTTAAGTGGAGAATGGTAAAGGGCCGAGCGCATTATCCACTGAGTTTCCAATATTGTGCCACTTAGCATCGGGGATTTCTCGGTTATTAACCCAAAAGCAAAAAAGAAAGAAAAAAACAAACACATAGAAGATGCAAAATTCCAGTGTAGATACATCTAAGTTATTTATCAAGGAGCAAACTGCACTCAATGGTATTTGAACTAATCAACCACATCAAACATGTCAGCTTTTCCATGCCAAGAAGGAACTTTCTACCTTCCAGAGGAATACACATCAGTGTATCCGTGTTAATCAACAAATTTCTTCAAATGAACACATCGAGAGCATATCTACATCTGTAGCATAAGGCCAGAAATCGCCGAACCACTAGACTCAATGAAAGAGCAAGCAGAAATGCAGTTAACCAATTCGTTAATCACTACCACACATCCACACAGAATCACAAGAACATTGACTAACTCTAAAAGTCAATTGAAGCTCAGTAATAAAAATGATCAGAAAATAATACCTGAATTAATTGCTGTGCTGTTTGGACTTGTGATGCCGAACCATTTATCTCAACAGTCATCTCACCAGGAACACCCCTTGTTTCCTGCACTGCAATAGTTGCACCACTTGTCCGACGAATATAACTAATATTCGAACCAGAAGCCCCAATAACGGCATCAGCATATGACAAAGGAATTTGGATGTTTTGTGTGACCTTTATGGAGAAAAAGTTTAAAAAACAAGGAGCAGAAGTAGAAAACTCGTTATTGGAGGATGAACAAAATGAACCAAAAGAAACACAAATCGTTATAATCAACAAAAGATACTACTAAAGGGTGCCAGATTCTAATCACATGCAACATATCTAAGCTGATGTACATGCTAATCTTATGTAGCATATTTTGTGCAATTCAATATCAGCGCCAGAATCCTCCTTCCCTATTGTACTAAGTTCATAGGATTTGTCAATTAGATTTTTCTATTCAACAGATTAAAGGAGGAGAAAGTGCACCTTTGAAACTATGGATTGTTGTGGTTGCACATTTGCATGAGATCCCACTGAAGCATCTCTGCCGTAAAGGGGGCCCGGATGAGGTTGCATATCTAGAGGCATGTCCCCTCGTGGAAAATAATTGTCAAATTGCCGTGGTGGCGCCATATACTGGGGGTTGGCTCCAAATCCAGGTCCCCCAACACTCATGGGAAAACTGGATGGAGGTGGACCCCAAGGTTCAGTAGGCCCGGGCGGGGGCATATTCTGGTGTGCACGAGCATTCGGCATTTGCATCTGAGCAGAAGAAATATGAATGATTCTCTAATGAAATGTCACATAAGATCCTAAATTCGTTAAAACAATAGTATACTTACAAGTTTCTCAAATACTCCAATTACACTGCGATCAACTAAAAATTTCCTCAGATGAGTTGCAATCATTTCAACTGCTTTATGCACGCCTGCTGGCTCCCCTTGTATCTCAACGATACTATCATCAGGCAGGGCAAACATGGGGAGATGCTCTGAACAAAAGATGTAATCAGACACCAAACTAAAATTCCATGAGGACAAAATGGACTGCAAAGATCAAAATAAAGACAATAAGAACTTCAAAAAAGCACACGACTCACATTACCATTTTCAAGTCACAAAGCAGCAAAATATTCAGCTTGTGAGCTTTTGGAAAGTCCAAAGTGGGTCTTTCATTGATTGTTATATGTTTCAAACAAAATATCATAACTTGAAAAGAAAACTAAACCAAGTGAGGACCCCGAATTAATTAGTTACACTTCCTTCCAGAGTGCTTATTGTTCTTGAGAGATAATACAATATATATACAGGGAGATACACACTCTCTCTTTTCCTTTTTTGGAAGGGCAAACATGGAGAGGAATTTCGATATCTAAAAGTTTCCGCTCTTATTTAGGTGATCTGGGATGGAGGGGGTGTCCTACTACAGAGAGTTACAATATGATGACTGGATTTCAAGATACAAATGTGTGGATCATTTTGAATTAGTGATGCATTTATATGCTGAATGACCATAGCGGCATTTTATTATAAGTATGACCATACCGGCAATTGAAAAAGAGAACTGCCAGGAAAGTCAGTAAAAGCCCCATAGATCATCAAATTTGAGTACATGTTGCCCCCCGTAAACTTCAAATTAGCAAATTAATAAAGATGTAAAACTGTTCAAATATATACCCTGCCATCGCATATCAAACGCCTATACTTTACGTCAGAGATAATGTCAAACTTTATATCTTCTGTGCTGGACACCCCAATCCAGAAATCATAATCTTCCGTATCGGAGCTCATCCACATTTAAAGAACTGATAAATCAATATGCCTTCCATTATAATCTCCAACGAAGTACATTTAAACATTGGATAAAGTCACTCAACGATAGTAGATTAAAAGGTCAAACAGTAGCAAATACTAACTAAAGCCCATTTTGATCCGATGTACCCACCAGCTCTACATTTTAAAAGAGCTTCAAACTTCAAAGTACCATATAACAAAGGTAGTGTGCGCAAGCATTTCTATGAAGTCCTCCTAGGGGCCAAGGTATAAATTAAATCCAAAAGCACTATTTGTATTTAACAAATATAGATGGTTGGAAGCCTAACCTAAACAAGATTCTTCAGTAAAATCCAAATATATGACTTTTGGACAGCTACAGTTAGTTCTCAATGATGACTACTATAGCGAGTTACACAAACATAATTTCATATGTCGAGTTGGAGAAGGGTATATTGTAAAGGAGTTTTAACCGAGAAATGCACTTATGAATAGACAGTCATTTCAGCATTTTGTGATATCAAAAATGGTTGGAGAAAAACTGTTGACTCCATATACCTTATTCCCATATCAACATGTTTACTAAGCATACAGTGTTTATCTGCAAACCTTTGATGAAGTACACAGCAATCTATTAGTAAAGAAGCATATAGTCATATACATAATCTAGGGAAAAGCATGAATATGTCCAAACTTGGACATTTCACTTCTAGAGTGCTCAGCAATTCCTTTCTAATTCTTGACCCTATTTATCCATATTGCACTGCCCTTTTAGCTTCATAACGTAACATATCTATGACCTAGCCAGCCTTTTTGGGCTCTGCCCAGCACAACATTACAAGAATTAGACTAAGATGAACACCCCATGTTTATGCTATATCAAGAACTTGTTTGGTGGCAAATTATCCTGCAATGCCATGCTATACAGATTTTACAGCATTACAGGGTTGTTTAGGACTGCAAGCAACAGAAGTGGATCTATAACTTCTCAAGGAAACAATAAAAGAAAAGATTTGAGATTAAAGAAAGAATCACCTCCTCCAAGAATTCGAATAGTGCAATGAGATTCGTCTTGAATAGACTTAACGGTTGCACCCTGCTTTCCAATCAAGATAGCAGCCTGTGTAGCAGCCACAAGTAGTCTAGTAGAAACTGGTTTCCCAGCACCAGAAGGAGTATTGGTGGAGTCATGATCCACATCAATAATCCGCTTATGGACCTTCAAAAGGCCATCCATAGCAGGTGGAATAGAGAGGCTAGGCTCTTCCTTCGCAGATATCATCACCTGCAATTGAAAAGAATGAACAATTCATGGCCAGCACAAAAGAGAGTTACATATAAACATCATAACTTCCAACCACTCGGACCATGTCAAACATAAGCTAGTGCCTAGAATGTTTCGGCTAGGATTAGAATTGTAGTAAATTAAACAGAATGCAGAATCGGTGCATTTAGTCTGTCAAAAGATATGCACATAAGTAGATTGGACGTGTGAGAGACAAAATACCAAGACAGACAAGTGAATTAGCAAAAGCTTGCAGATACAAGCAAGCGTGAGAATTGATTGAAAGTGGAACAGCTGTTACGAGATAATCTATCATCCCTTGGCAAAGGATGCAGTGACATTGTCTGTACCTTATTCATGATACGTGCCCATTCAAAGTCCGCTATTACGTAGGGCCATAATGTAAGGATCCACTTATGAATACAGCAATACTTTCTCAATTTACTACCACAGCCTAACTCCTTAGAGGCATATCAACTTCTTTTTTATAGACATTTGATGCCCCATCAGCTTAGCTATTATCCAACTAAAATTTTAATGTAGCAAGAGAATTTATGATCTAAGTGTGGGAATGCCATTAATTACAGAAAGTTTTGTCTATCTATCAATCAAGGTCAATCTTTATTCGCTTGATTCTTATGTCTGTATGAACAAGTGTCCACATTTATACAACTGAAGAGTGCCTATAAATATGCAAACTCATTAGCATACATCTTTAAGCCTTTTAAGTAGTATGTGTAAGACTTCTCTATAAAGATTAAATGTCATATCTTATTAAAAACCATGTTGCAGTACCTCCCTTAGAAAACAGAGAAATGGTTGGATCTCAGTGGAGATAGTCAGTTAGAATATAACGCTGCTAGCAGATTTCAGGCAAGTTTCATTAATTAAAACATTAGAATCTTACTCAGTTGATAATTCTTTTTTTTCCTAGTTTATTGTTAATTTTCCAGCATGTAGACACTAGTTTATAGTATCGGATGTTTTTATTGTGGAAATTATGTACTTCAAATTGTTTTCTATATAATATTTCCTCCTTTATGGAGCTTAAAACCTTCTGGCAAGATACCAACCGACCAAGTTTTGAAGTTACCAGACATAATGCAATCTTCTGGGTACTGATGTCCGGATAAGGTAATTCTGACAGATTGTCAGAAGGACTTCCAGCACTTGTAATGCTCAATGCTGATGGCTGCAGCTTGGATCTTTGGTTCTTCTAGTATAAGCCACTTTGATAGAAATGTTGCCTTATACGGGCAAGAACCTGCATACACTCATGTTGGTTATGATGATAAAGAAACTCCCTCAGATTTTTGTGGTTGTTTGATGGATTGATTTTAACCCACATTCAGCAAGTTAGTTATAGTTCTTACAGATTCATTAGTTTTATCATTTATCAACTTATTTCTAACAGTTCCATTTCAATTTTTATTACAATTATTTTTAACCTTTAATGAAGATATCATGTAAGATTGATCACTCTTACACCATTTTTTATTCAATAGACATTTAAGTAGGCCTCAATAACATCTAAAACCTAAAGAATTACAGAAGGTTTAGGTCACAGAATGAGCTAAATATAGCATACTTAGTGCATCTTGCTAGAACCATGAAACTCCCATGTATAGAACTACTCCCCATAAGAGAGAGCAGCTTCAACTTTTAACATCTTTATGAACACTAGAAGATCAACTTGGGCACTGCAACACAAGGACAAGTGGAGGCTTTTAGCAACTCCAAATAATAAAAAATCATACTACTGCAAGAATTGAAGGATAGAACTGGCAGGAGGACGTACTTAAATACTTTTCAATGCCTGAATAGTTGGAATACATGGAAGTAGCCAAAGAGATTTAACAAGAATAGCACGCAATAAATTGAAAACTTTTCTGATCCCATCAGCATCAGCTTTTTTAAATAATAGTGGTACTCGGGCCAGTTTGCCTACACATCGACTAATCCACGAGTACATGTTATCTCCCACCAACACAAATATTGAATAACACTTTCCAACAATGCTTAGATAGATAAGAAATGACCTAGCGCTTTTGATCTGCAAGGATTTGACCCTGGTATCCCATGGTCTACCCCAACTTCTAATTTTTTAAAGATTAAGGTTATCCATCCCAACTTCGTTAACCAGTAGACCACACCTTTGGGTGTTGATCCATCTCCATCAGTTGAAATATTCAAAGCAATAGAGTCACATTATCACAAGTGCATAACATGATATTTATACAATAGCACTCCACATAGTTATGTAATCCTAAAGGTTTCAAATAACAAGATATATCATCAACTCACAGCTCTTTCTGTAGACCCAGGAGGACCATCAAGGATCTTAATGCGAGCTTTTGTTTCTTCGCAAGTTTTTTTTATATACTCTCCTTTGCGGCCAATGATGCCACCAACCTTCTTGGAAGGAACTAACATTCTGAAGACATTTTCTCCAGGCCAACCAGGCCACCTTTTTTCCTCACCGCCTCCTGAACCGTTTTCAACAACTTGTACCTCTTCTGATTCCAATTTTATTGAATGTCCCTGAAGGGACGCATCTTGTACCTCTTCTGCCTCTAATTTTATCGGATCTCCCCCAAGGGACACAACTTGTACCTCTTCTGATTCCAATTTTATTGAATGTCCCTGAAGGGACGCATCTTGTACCTCTTCTGCCTCTAATTTTATCGGATCTCCCCCAAGGGACACAACTTGTACCTCTTCTGGTTCCAATTTTATCTCACATCCCTGAAGGGACTCAACTTGTACCTCTTCTAAAGGCAAGCTGCTCAAATGCGCATTGTCCGTTTCTTGAATATTATCCATTTTATGTGCACCCTCTGCCACATGCACATTGTCTGCGTCGTACACATTACCAAGGTCATATTCCTGACAACTTTCTTCAGCCATTTGCTACAAGAGAAAACCAAAATCAGCTATTAGAACATAACCAAAGGAGGGAAATAGATATGTCCAGAAGCTAAGATGAGATAATAGTTTATCTTTGTGATTCCAAAAGATCATAATTGCAGAATTGTAGAAAATAGAAGCCTTTAAAAAATGGAAAAGTTGGGGGCAACAAGAGAACAAGTCCTAGCTAGTTTGCTGAGGAAGCTCAGAGAATAACCAATAACTTCAATTTCATGTTGATACCCTACTCTGAAAAAGTATATTAAGGGGAACCTGCTAAACATTATCCGCTGCATGCATGACTGTTGCGCATGCTCATAAAATTCTCTAACATGCCAGGCTGCTCTAGGAATACTTTTTTAAGAATAAATACCTTGAAATAGGGTTTTTTTCCCCACAATCCCCTCCCCCCCTCCCCAAAGTATTGGCCAAGGAACCAATGACCAGCCTCAAGACTCTAAATGGATAATTATACTCCTCCAATTCCAAATAGAATGATAGGATCAAAATACTGAGGGTGAAGCATCTAATTGTAGGTGTGAGCTCGAACTTGATTTCTTATTTTTTTCTAAACGAACTCTCAAATGTAAAAACTACATAAAAAGGTACTATAAATCACAGTTTAACATAATAATCAAAATATATAAGAGATGTTCCGAAATAATGTAATACTCCCTCTGTTTTCAATTTATGTGAACCTATTTCCTTTTTAGTCCGTGCCAAAATGAATGACCTCTTTCCCTATTTGGAAACAATTTACCTTTATGCAATGATTTATAGACACACAAAATATATATGCATCATTTTACACCACAAGTTTAAAAGTGTTCTCTCTTTTCTTAAACCCCGTGCCCAGTCAAATGGCTTCACATAAATTGAAACGGAGGGAGTAGTAGGGAAAATTTGTTTAACTCCCCAAAAGTTGAGATGGAGAGAGAAAAAACTAGATAAAATGGTTTTGAATAATCAAATTATATAAGAGATTTTTTATAAGAAAACATAGTAGAAATAATTTGTTTTAATCCCTAAAAATTGAGATGGAGAGAGAAAACAAAATGTTTTTGTCTGTTCAAATCCTGCTTCAGAGAAAAGCCTCTGGTCCATTATCCACAGAGTTCCAAATATGTGCCATTGGCCCTGAGGGATTTCTCGATTATCAAACAAAATAGAGATGGAAGGAGTATACTGTTTCTATTTTCAAATTACATTGTAATACCAAGTAAAAAAAAACAGTAAGTAAAAGGTAACAAAACCCTAATAGCTTAGAGTTCCCACATGTATAACCCTCCATAATTCAGTACATCCTTCACTTCAATTATGTTAAAATCATAGTGACGAACCGGCAGCTTCGAAGCATCACTTGCGGAAAAGCTAAAACAAAACCTAGTTCTCAAACACGCACGTATAAACACATACTTAGGCTTAAACACTCGGGAAAAAAGGGAAAAACTTATGAAACAAAACATTCAACGAAAAAGTAAGGTATCAAAATCAAATTGAAATAGAATTATCAAATTGAGAAGGAATTAAGCAAAAATGTGAGATAAAAATTGTTGTAACTATACTTACAGTGAATGAAGAGGTTCCAATATCAAAGAGGAATAGCGGGAGCTGGGGAAGGTTATGAAAGCAAGTGGGCGGGACGTAGACTAGTCACTAGGTTTTATTGAGGAGAAGTCTCGCCATCTTTGGATAATTTCCCCCCTAGTCCCTATACTTGTTGTATTCATATTTTGGGCCACCAATTCACGGGAAAATTCTACTAATACAATCTTTTACTTTGCAAAGGTATCAATTAGCCCTTCATTTTTGTTATACATATATTGTTGCATATCTTATGTTCATAAAACTTGTAAATTAAATATTGGAAAAATGGCCCCCAGAACACTTAAACTTGTACCTGATTGTCAACCCGGTAAAGTAACTTATAACTTCCTCGTTTGAACACCTCAACTCATACATTTGTGAACTAATAAACATCTCAAATGGAGTGTGTATATCGAATGCTCTAACATTATAACACAATCATATTCTAGGACTAATTGTTGCTTGACATGTATAATTTATGGGTTCCTCTTATTTTAACAAATTTATCAAATTTTAATTTCATGGTTTTACTTTTCTTCTTCATGGCCTTCTACAGATAAGCCAACCCAACCATATTTTTTCCAATGTCACCCAAACACACCACATCAACTCGCCATTCACATCTCTGCCGCCAGCTCCATCACACCATCACACCACCACAAATAAGTCAAAATCACTAGAATTTATTTGTGCATAGACTAGAAAAAGAGAAAAATAAGCAACAAAGATAACTCGATTAGTTGTTCTATCTCTAAAACCACAATCTCACCACTCCCTGCCCGCCTATGGACCACCACAAAACTACACCATTATGCTCTCCCATTGAAGCCATTATTTATTTTCTCCTAAAATTCCAAAATTATTTTTTGTTTTGTTTTTGCCTAATTCAAAAATTGACGTATAAGTTTTGAATTCTTAATTTCCATCTCAACTATAATCTTGACTTTCACTGGAAAAATAGCGTGAGAGAAAATTGAAGGATACTTGTGACAGTAAAATTTTTGGGTTTGATTTGAAAGTAAGAGGAAGAAAATGGATTATTTTTTTTTTGGGGGTGGGGGTGGGGGTGGGAACGGAGGGTTAGCGTACAGTGGTAGATGAAAAAGTGGGAAAGGGTTTGATGGTAAAGAAAGGGATGGACTGTGAGCCTTTCTTTTTTATTTATTATTTTTTTTTTATTTTAGAAAAATTTTAATCCAAAATTACCGTACTCACGCGCGTTAATTATATGAGTTGCACACACTTTATTCATGTCATATATGATCGTGCCACATAAGCATATTTAATGGTCAAATGTATTTATTAGTTTACGTATATACTAGTTGAGGTATTCAAATGAAAAAGTTGTAAGTTTCTTTACCGGTTGGCAATCAAGTAAAGTTTAAGTGGTCAATAGACCATTTTGCCAATTTAGACTATTATTATAATCACACATATCTATAACAACATCTATATACAACAATCATTCACTATAAAAGTCATATTTTATCAAAAATAATTTTTATGTTATGTTATTAATATATATCCTTTATAACAGCACTTTACAATAACAGTAAAAAAATATCGAAACGAATGAGTTGTTATAGAGAGGTTTGATGGTAGTATGTTTGTAATATAAAAATGGTTGTTAACAGATTGAAGAACGAGGGATAAATTATTTAATTTTATTTTCAATTTAGCCGTCAATTCCTCAAACTTTTTAAAACATAATTTTTTTCATATTTATAATTATGTACATATACACAAGTATAACTAAGAGATGAATCTATTAAAAAGAAAAGACGAATCTTACTAACAAAGGAAAACTATTTCAACTCTCAACATAGTAATGGTTCATGTAAAATTAACAAATTTTGTCCAAATTTGTTAATGTTCTATCTGAAATTGCTCAATTTGCTATTCATCTTGTATTTAATATTGCAATTAGTTGAGCTTTAGCTTGAAATGGATAAACTCCATGTGAATTAAATGTAACTAACCTTCTTCAGTCATGTTGGTATGTGGTTACAAATATTTGCTCAATCCAATCAAGTTGGAATTTAGATGTGTATTAATAATTTCAGCCTCTTTTCTTTTTAAATTGTCTTAAAAGTAGTCTGTTAATGGTACGTAGGGTCACACTAAAATTACTGGCGTGTAAAAGACGCATTTTGCTAGCTACAACACTAAAAAAATTGGCCAGAAATAAAATGGAGAGTTGCTGAAAATAATATAGGGCATAAGCTGTAACAAGAATGTCATCTAATAAAGTATACTGAACAGCATAAATTCAGATATTAAAAGGATTATTATAAGATCAAATTTAAAAACAGAAAATACAACTGAAAGTTAAAATACGATTCTCTATATTGGGCGCAAATACAAACCACCCACAAAGATCCAGAAAATTTACAATCCTAACCCTATCTATTACTTCCTCCCCTTTCTAGCAGATGCCCTCTTCGCCGGCGACTTTGCCGTCTTAGCTTTAACACTCTTAGCAGCAGGTGCCGCCTTCTTCACCGGAGCCTTTTTCGCCACCGGCTTCGGCGCAGCTTTCCTCGACGGAGTACTCCTTGTAGCAGTTCTCGCCACCTTAGCTGGCTTCTCCTTCGGCTTAGCCGCAGCCTTAGTTTTAACAGGAGTTTTAGGCTTCTCCGCAGCTTTCGGCTTCGCTACAGCTGCCGCCTTAGGCTTCACAGCAGGCTTAGCTTTAGCAACAAGCTTCGCCTTAGGCTTTGGCTTCGCCTTTGGTTTAGTAGCAGTTTTTGCCTTTGGAGCAACAGTCTTAGGTTTTGGCTTCGGTTTTGCCTTTGTTGCTTTAGGCTTAGCTGCCGGCTTCTTCTTCACCGGCGCAGTAGCGGCAGCCTTTGGAGCTGCAGATCGTGCAGCTGGAAGTTTGTATGAACTCTTAACCTTGACGAGTTTACCAGAAGCCACAAGCTTCTTCAATTGAACAAGCAACAGTTTCCTGAAATTTGATGGAAGATTCTTCTGCTTATCTTCGATGAACTTTGTAATCGCGTGCTGGCTCGATCCAGTTTTATCCTTCAGTGTTACAATCGCATCCTTAATCATCTGCAAAATTAGGCAAATTAACAAATTAATTCATCAATAACAACAACTACAGCTTGCTCAGTCCATACAAATCCTCAATTTTCATTAATCATCTGCATAACAACTACTACAGCTCAATCAATGCGAATCCTCAATTTTAATTTCGCTTCATTTGCACGGATACATTCCTAATTTCCAATATTCAACATTTCCGTAACAAAATGAACAATTTAATTAACAAATTTTACCTCAAAGTACGAAGGATGAGTAGGAGGATTTCTCTTCCTCGGAGCAGCTGGTTTTTTAGCCTTAGTCTCCTTCTCTTTCTTTGGTTCATCGGACTCCACAGCCGGAGGGTTATCTTCCTTGGCAGGCTCAGCTTCCACCACCGCCGGTTCAGTTACAATCTCGGTTGCTACAACTGGTTCTTCAGTCGCCATCTCTTAGCAGAAAATCGGATTAGGGTTAGGGTTTATAAGAGAATTGGAAATGGGGAAAAACAGATCTATATCTGTAGAAATTACTGGGATTTCTTTTTCTTTTTTGCAGGTATGAATTTGTTGATGAAATTGAGAAGACCATATATAGTAAGGGTGAAGTAGTTCATATCCAGAATTCTGAGAGCTGATTGGTTGATAGCCTTTTGACGCGGATTAATAGTTTAGGCGAATTTTAAATATAAACCGTTAGATTTAATTTCATCGACGGATCGTAACGGTAGGTGACTAAGACAGGGATTGGGATTGAAACAAGAAAAGCTTGTTTTGGTTGCTTGAGTTGTGTTTTTGTGCTCAATTGATCTAGGCAAAAGTTGAGCTATACTTTATGGATTTAGATCAAATATTTTTTATTAGGTAGATAATTTCGTAAGCTTTTTGAAGAGTATTTATTTGGATTTTTTTGGATGAGAAATCTGGGAGATTTTTAATTTTGAATAGCAAGTGGTCTGATCAATGAGTTTCTTGGAGTCTTTTGGGGTTTTGGTTAATTTTAGGTCAATGCTTTGGTTAAAAAACTGGTTTTTTCCTCTGGTGTGATAGTAGACTAAATAAGGAGTCCGTGAAATCAAGAATCACAAAAATCCGATCAGATTTGGTCATGGAACTATTGGTTCAAATGTCATTGAAGATGAACACATACACAACTATTTGTACTTCTTGAAGTATAAAGCAAGTGTATATATTTTCTTCACAAATCTCATTAATTTCTACTAATATTTTTTTTCATATCACAATTGCACTCTTGGATGACTGAATCGTTACTTGTTTCTAGTTCCAACATTAAAATTATTACTATTATACTATTATCGTACATAATATGTCTCTAAGTAGATTGTTGCAAGTTCATTTGCTACAGGTTTCATACTCGATTCTTATCTTATGTTCTCAACTTTGATTTAATGAGTGCCATGATATTATATGCATTGACTGTTGTATTCTAATACGAAGCATCTACGACATTCTCATCGTCCCTAAACACTAATAATTAAAATTAGTGTTCTTAGTGATATTAGTTTAGGGTGCCAATAGTAATATAGTTGCTCAACCGCTCTTTATTTCACGTATTATGATGAAGATATTTTTGATGTTACGTTTAGTCGAAAAACTAACTTAATGGACAAATAAGGGATCGGTAAGAATCTATATTGAACTCCAAAGAACAGGAGCAGATGTATTGTTTACCACTGGACACCCACTTGTGCCATTGAATATGGCCATAAGATGAAACCAACTTCCTAGTGTATAAATTTGTGTACTGATTGCCCTATATACATCTAGTAAATTTAGCACCAATGACTTGTTTTAGCTTGGCCTTCGCCCCACTTTAATATCATATTCCAGATTATTGTAGCTTGGATCAATAAGTCAAAGAATTAGCAGTCAAACATTGAAACGTTCATGTATTAATTGTTTACTCAATCAACATAGCAAGATTGCAAATCAGATTCGAAGGTTGATGCAACATTGCAAACGCACCTATGCTATAAACATGCTTCAAAAAGGAATTTTGTATACTATAC